TTCCCTACAACTAACTGGTCTTGATTATGTTTAATGAAAATAAAATAAAAATAGATTTATTTTCTTCTAATTAATGGCTTAAATATTTGAGGCCTAGCACCGATTACAGTTTGAGTCCCAGATCTGATGGCCTGCTTTCTAACTTTCTCTCTCTCTGTCTCATTCACTCTGTCCTTCTCTGGTCAAATTAAAATAAATAAATTAATTAAATAAATAAAGTAATTTAAAAAAATAAAAAGATTGTGTAGTAAGAATCTGTGTCTTCCTTCTAGCTGCGTGTGGAACCTGAAAAGCTGAGGCCGGTAGGATCTGGGACACTAGAGGTATGCTGGCCAATACCAACCCACTGTGTTGAAATTTAAGTGAAGATGGTGTTGGTGTGATTTGCCTGTGTTTGAGGAAGAAACTATATAAATAAATGGCTCAGTAATAGTACCTGACCACCAACAGAGGGTCATGGAAACTCTTGAGGACAAATGATTGTTTAAGGAGTTAAGTTTAGAGAACTCATTAATGGCACAAAGAGGTGTGGTATTACCTGTTGAAGATATTTTGTAGTTTTATCAACAGTACTAGGGAGAATGTGATTGAATGTATGGAAGAAAATGGAATAAAAAAAAAAAAGATAAATAAATAAATAACAAAAAAAAAAAAAAAAAAAAACAGTTTAGAGAACAAGGAAAAGGGACAGTGAAAAAGAACAGGTTGTGAACCATAATTTAGAATGTGGAAGTTTCAAAAGACCCAAAAGAGTTTCAGGGGAGAAGAAATGACCCATAGTTTTGCAAATAGTTAAAGAAACCTGAGTATTTACATTTTAATTTGTTCAAGAAAAGCCTGAAATGAAGTAGGGACAGTACATGCTGATAGATGTAAAATTTGCTTTCACAAAATTTAAAAATTGGATTTTCACCTTTTAAAAGCAAGCACTGAACCATAGTATGTTTTCTGCCTGAGCTTCTATTAGCTGTTTCTGAGTATGTTCTCATTTATCAATGAATACACTGTAGCTGTGTAACCTCTCTCCTGATATTGAGCTATTTAAATAGCAACTACCTTTAATGAGTGTAAAAAGGCCATGCTTTTCAAACTTAGTGCACTGCCTTATGAAGAACATCTCTAAACAGAAAAAAAATATATTGACTTATGAAAACATAATAATGATAAGGCTAAGATACACAGAAGCAATTTCCTATAAAAATAATAAGCTTACCTAGGATACTTAAATATCCGTACTGATCTTGTTATCAGGGGAATAATAGGTCCTCTGTGTTCAGTTGTAATGATTCATTGTGAGTGAAAGACAAAATAACATTTCTGTGTGTAAATGAAAATTATTACAATTAACTACCTTGAATTAATTTGGGATTCCTCGTGTGTTTGCAACTTAAATTTATTTTGCTACTTAAATGCCTTATATAATTTTAATATTAATTCAGTCAACATTTCTGTCATTTGGTAGCTACTAAGTGGGTTTTAACGTATGTGTGGATTAACCAGGTTTCTTTGGAGTTTCAGCAGATTGTTTATTGGATGCTGCTTAATACTGGTGACACTTTAGCACCAGATAAAAGTGAGAGCGAAAGTAACTGGCAACTGTTATTCAACTTTAATTGCCCTGTATTGATGGGTCAGTATAGCCAAAATAGAAACTAAAAGACAAATAAATAAATTCTGGATGTATACTTCCTGAGATAAACAAATCAACAATCAAAATTCAATTCTGGGGACCAGCAGTTAGGGTAATGGCTATGTCGCTGGACTCCCATGTAGTCGACCGCGGTTCGCTTCCTGGACCCGGTGGCTTAAAACTCACGCCGGGCGTGTGTGCTTGCGTGCCCAAGATCCCGAGAGGAGGACAGAGGAGAAGGGATTGCGGCGTGGATTCCTCCCAGGGGGGGCTGATTTCTCACTTCTGTCTCTCTGTCTCTCTCTCTGTCTGGTGAGAGCACGTGTCCTATAGCAAAAACCTCTCCAAAAAAAAAAAAAAGAAGAAGACAAAATTCATTTCTGCTTCAGGTGGCATATTGATAATAAAAGATGCATGGAGTGCTGGCTCCATGGTGCAAAGGTAATGTGTTATGTACTACTCAAGAGAAGCTGGACCCTACGTGCCAACCATGGTTCTGATGCCCTGGCTCATCAGTCTGAAACATGTCAGGCATGTGCGTAAGTGCCCAAGATCCAAAAATCTGAAGGGTGCAGAAAGGGGAAATTATGGTATGAACAGATCCTGAGGAGGTTGCTCATCCCTCTTTCATTCTCTCTTTCTCTCTCATGCACACACATGCTTTCTCATAAGTAAAGGGAAAAAAGATGCATGGAATTCGTTTGTCCATCACTGGCTCAATGTCTGTAAACTCTTTCTATATTCTTTGAACTACATTGTGAAAGCACTTTTACCATCTCCTTTGTGTGTGTCATCTTGAAGGATTTTGAAAAGATTTTACATGCAGCCCTTGAATATATAAGAAACTGTCATTCAATAGGCATCCTAAATTGAGGTCACCAGATGTGTTTTCCCCCCACAGTGAATCACAAAACAAGCATAATTTGAATATTCTGCATATATTTACATAAGATGTCAAGAGTTCCTAACTCCAATTATGTAAAATAAAATTAATTAGTGCCGCCTACCACAAAGCCCATATTCAAACTCAATATTCAGGGCAATAATGGCCTGGAAATACCTAGCACATCTTAAAGCCAATTAGCTTGATTTCTTCTGGGAATAGAAGGTTTAGGCAGGGGTACCTACCCTGGTGGATCAAGGTACACATAGCAGTAGACGTGGATGCTCAGAGAGAGGGGATCAGGTTCAAAGCTGCTGTGTCTTGCTCTTCTGTGTTTTAGTCTCTTTCCCAGTGAAAATTGCAGCTGCTTATATTTATACCTTCTTGTTCTTCTTGTGCTCTGATGAGGACTGAGTGACACTCTTGTCTTGGTTATGTTTCTTTCTCTAACTCCCTGAAATTCCAGATAGGAGAGCTGGTGAACCTCCCCGGTATTAAAACTATTACCTTTTTCTGACTGGGATTTCCATAACTATGTACTGCCTAGAGTGCTCTTTTCCTCTTCTGTCTGCCTTTAGAAATTCTGCTAGTAGTCCTCAGTATGATAGTCAACTCTAAGCACTATAAGGTCTGTTGTCTGACAGAGCTTGTTTTCAATTTAAAGGTTGCTTGGGTGGCCTTGGTCAAATTATTACCTGCCTTGAGGCTGGAATTTATTATGCATGCATAAAAGACAAGTTGTTTTCTCTGTTAGGCCTGTTGGAGAGATGAAATAAAATATCATTCCTCAGTGCCCTAGACATGATGTATACCCAAAAAAAGTTAGCTCTTCTCCTTCCTCTGACTCATTCCAGGTGTTAATCATAGTGCAGTTTTCCTGTGAAGGACTCAGGGGTAATCAGGCAACGCCTTCCTTTATGTAATGTCTCTTCTCACATTATATTACATTTACTTGCTGTTAGTGTCCTGAGTGGCTGACATAGAGTAAGTAAGTCCCCACTTCAATGGCTGCTGAATTGTAGAAGGTGATGATAATAGCCATAGGGAGGTGACAGATACAATAGGATTTAAATGACTCAGAATTGGGGAAATAAAGTGACAAGAGGTAGGCATCTCATCTCCTTCCTCAATGTAATTGCATGAAGGATTTACTTCAGAGAAGCTGGTAGAATCTAGATAATCACTATTATAAACAAAAAGAGAAAAACTCCAGTTAGAGGAGGTTCTATTTCTATTCTCTCCGGCCTCCACCCTCCTTGAGAAGGACAAAATTGGAAGATCAATTTGAGACTAACATTGGAAATAAGAGATGTCTGTAAATGTCATATTACAATAATATAGGAGGGAGCTCTGGGGAAGATCTGTGTATCTCATCTGGATTAGTTCAACAGTGTGCTGACCCAGAACACTTATGTGGAGACAGTGCCAGATTATACACACAAACACACATACATAAAATTTGAATGTGTGTGTGTATGTGTATATACACACACATATTAAAAAATTTGAGCATACATATGTGTGTGTGTGTATATATATATATATATATATGGCATCTATTATGTACATATATATGTATATAATATATATACATATATATATATATACTTGAAAATTCATGATGTATTTTTTATGCAAAAATGCATCATGATTTCTCTGATTATATATATATATATATACATTCAAAAAAATTAGAGTATATATTCACAAAAATATTAAGTGTATATGTGTGTATACATACATACACACACACACTCAAAAAATTGAGTAAATTACTAATAATATGTGTACTATAAGGGGCAATACAGTTTTATACCAGCTATTCTACCAGTCATCTCTAAAATACATATGAAGTATATAAAATAATATTTTAACTTAGGAGAAAAAGTCAAGCTTTTGTGATAAATTTAAAATGTTATCTCATTCTAAGATTTCTCTTTGCATGTGTTTATTATGCTGCAAAGAACATGTATATGATATAAAAATGCATGAACATATGGGAGGGATGTACTTTTTGGTCAAGGTGAATGTGTGGGTGACAAATGCCACTTTCTCTTTTCCAGACTGTGGTTTTGTACTTGCTCACCAAAGCTAACTTCAGCATGCTCAAAAGGAAGCAGAGTTCCAGGGTGGAAGCCCAGCCAGTTACTGATTTTGGTCCTGATGAATCCCTGTCAGACAATGCTGACATACTCTGGATTAACAAGCCAGTAAGTTTCTTTTTTGAAGTTTAGAGAATCACTTGCTGATATAAGGGAAATTTGATCCATAAATTCAAAAACCATGTACGTTTGGCTTTGAAATATCTGTTTGAGCTGCAGTAGACTATGGATGAGCTTCGGAGTCTGGAAGTTGAGAACAATCAAATGAAATAATAAGGTGCCATGGTGAGTTACTCACATTGGAAGATAAACTAGGTGGTCTGGTCCCTTTACTCCCCACCAAGTCATGCATTGTAGCGACAACACCACTTACCAGACTGATCCAAAGTAGGAGTTCAAGATGAACAAGTTATTTTTAATCGACATTTTTTACTTACAGTTCTCAACATGCATGAATCTGAGCTATGACAAGCTCTTTTGGAATTCAAGTTCCTTCTGAGTTTCACATATTGATTAAAGTGAAGGTTAATGAGATCCTGGACAGCATCACTGAAGAACTTTGTCTCCTTTGCCTAATTAAGTTGATGAGAGCTTGAGAGGAAGGTCTGCAATGTGGGGCATCATTGTTTGTTCAGGTCATCACAGCAGCCAGGACTGACTGAGATGGCATAGACCTCGGTCTTGGAAACTCAGCTTCCTCAAACAAAGTAGGATCAGTGACACTATTATTTTTATTTTTATTTTTATTTTTTTGAGAGCTGTTTGCTTTAGGGCACATGCACTCTCTGGAGAGAGAGAGAGAGAGAGAGAAAGTGAGAAGTCTCCCCTCAGGGGATTTGGCCACACCACAATCCCTTCTCCTCCATTCTCTTCTTGAGATCTTGGTCATGCACGCAAATGCACCCTGCATGAGTTTTAAGTCGCTAGGTCAGGGACTCAAACTGGTTGACTATGTGGGAGTGCAGCAATGTAACATTACACCATCTACTGGTCCTGGATCAGTGTCACTATTAGGCTCCTAGTAGATGTTGAAGTAAAACAAAATGACTGTGGCCTCCTGTGGCACTTGCCTTTCCCCTGATGATGGCATGATTCTCTGCTGGGCTCTCTCCTGTTCTTTTCCGGTCTCTCCCTTATCTGCCCTTCAGACTGTCTCCAACCTACTCACATTCCTTTCTACATTGCTATTTCTACTCCCATTATCCTTCTGCTATACAACCATGGAAACATACCTCTTAACTCCATAGTGAATTCAAATATGTTAGTATTACACTGACAACACTTCATATTCATCTTTAAGTTGTGCAGCCCCTGCTTCCTGTATCTACACCCTGCTGTCCACTTGAGCCTCATGGAAAACTTTCTGCACCTCCAGGAGATCTGACTGCTCACATCAGTTCCCTCTGCTTATTTGGTTCCCTGGCCCAGAGTTCCTTTTCTAGCTCCTCTGATGAGACAAATCCTGCCTGTCTATTAGTACCAACTGAAATGTCACTCTGTTCTCATCCTCCTCTGAAAGATTCCTTATTTCCACCAGAGACAGAAGGATACTCTTTTCTTTCTACTTATCCCTTATCCTAGTTTACACTTGCACATGTGTGTGTGTGTGTGTGTGTATATATGTGTGTGTGTATATATATAATTTTATATTTGACATAAACCTAACTTTATATTGTATATATATTTTACTTTTTGAATTACAATCTAGTTGAGTTAGAACTGTATTGTCTTCATTGTATCCTCAGAACCTAGCATTTTTGACATATCGTAGGCCTTCATTTATGTTTAGAGAGTTGAATAGAATAGAGAATAAAACATTTGCTGGCTTCTTAGTATCTTTCCCACACAACTTTCTAAGAATTTCTGAAAAAGGTGTGTTATACATATAGCCTTGGAGACCTTTACCAATAATATTAATGCCTAATTATAATTCTTTCTTCATAATCAAAACGGATTTGTTATGGACGAACCCATCTTTGAAGCTCTTTTGTGTAATTAGATCTGTTATGTTGGAGGTCCAGCTGGGACTAACTTCACACACTGATGTTTATTGAAGTCTTTCCAAATAGCATAAAGAGCATATCTTCCCTGAAAGTAAATTGAATCAGCAGTGACTTACATGGTTTAGAATTAGCAGCATTATGTCTTCATGCAGATAGTATAACTGTTAGATAAATATTATAAACTGCTTAGTAGTCTGCAAATGTCAGAGTCTCTTCAAAGTTCTGACGGTCTTTTCTGTTTTTCATCTTGAGTACTTGCTAGTTTACGCAGCTACAGAATCAATCCACTCCAAAACCTACAGGTTTTCCCCCCCAGAGAGAGTACAATACTAAGAAATTAACATGACTGCATGATTATATATCCAAGATAGTCAATAAAAAATAAATTATGTGTAAGTGTTATATATTAATAAATTAGCTAGTAGTATTACTTGTGTGATTTACCATGTAGATGCAAATTAAGTGATTTTTTATCCTAGATAGTAGTTTTCATAATAGGAGTGATTATATGTCCTATACATACACGTATGTAAATATGCTCACTTACCCTTTAATTATTTTTTCTTTATTTTGTGTTAAGAAAATCTTCAGACAGTGAATGTGCTGCTAGGATTGCACAGAAACTTGTTTTGGAAAATTTCTAAAGCAATGTCTGACTAACTTCGTATAAAACATGTTCTCCAAAATAAAAAGTTATCTCTCATTTTAAAACTTAAGATGATGCACAAGACTTATAAAAATATTTTCATAGAAGAAGATTTTATAAGTAAGCTACAAATAGAAAACCCTGTATATTAGAAGTGTGTCAATTTATTTTAAAAAAGCTTTTGTGATCTACTATGATAAGCCATTGTGCTAGACATGAGTGAGGTTATAGTAAATAAAATATAGCCCCTACTTCTAGGTGCTCGTAGTACAAAATTGGATCAAAGTAACAGCACATGAAGTTTTTCTATGAATAAATTACTAATACATGTCTCCATTGAAGTAAAATCTTCCTGTATTGTGGTCTGATGCCTGGCAGTTATCAGAGGTGTTGGAATAGCCTGACTAGGATCAGATATAGGCTTTGGCTCATACTAATATGTGATCTCAGATACACCTCTTAACCTTGCTGAGTCTTAGTCCATTTCTGTGAAAAACAATTTGCTTTGATAATTAAATGACATAAAAATATGTGAACATAATTAGCATACTATATGCACTTAACAGACATTAGTTTCCTTCTTCCTTGCCTCTATACTGGTGAAATTGTTTTTTAATTTTATGATTCGTATTTACATTTAATCATTATATTAGATTGTGAGAAAAGTAGTGATGTATATTTCTACATTTTTTTATGTGAACATGCATCATGACTTTCCCATCAACCCAATACATCTGTATAGCATATAATATGGTTTTTCAAAGAATACATGAATACATCAAAATAAAAGATATTACCATATCCTTCATTTTCAACAGAGTTTTACATTCTTGTGTCTATTAAATGCTTATATCCTGAGTCTCTTCCCCCTACCCCTACCATCCTCCTCCCCTTCATATAGTCTCTAGTATCTACATTTGTTCTCTCTACTATTATGTCTTCAAATACTTCAATATCTGCTGTAGAGTGCAGACATATGATATAGGCTTTTGGGAAAGTCATGATACATTTTTCTATGTAAAAATTCATCATGACTTTCACAACAACCCAATATATTGAGTGGGTATATACAGTGTGTATCTTTCATAGACTGACTTGTTTTGCTTAACATTACAAATTCTACATTCATCCACTTTCTATCAAATGAGAGGGGCTTGTCATTTTTAATGGCCAAATAGTATTCCCTAGCATGCCACATTATTTGTCAACTCAGTTATTAGTTCTTGGGCATTTAGATTGATTCCATGTTTTAGCAATTGAGTATGATGCTACAGTAAATACAGATGCACAACTGTTTTTCCAACTGAGTGTCTTCCTAACCTTTAGACGCATACTATAGAGTAGGGTTACTAGGTCATACGGTAGTTCAATTTGTAAGGTTTTGAGAAACCTACAGATTGTTTTCCACAGTGGATATACTAATTTACATTCCCACCAATAGTGTAGGGGGGTTGCCTTTTTGCTACAGATTTGTGAGCACTTGTCATTATTTTTTTGGTTATAGCCATTCTGACTGTGGTTAATTGGTATTTCATTGTGGTTTTGATTTGCATTTCCCTTATGATAAGAGATGTGAAGATTTTTTCATATGCTTTTTGGCCAATTATATGTCTTCCTTAGAAAGTTGTCTGGTAAACTCATTTGCCCATTTTATAATGGATTATTTGCTTTTGTTGTTGTCTGCATCTGAGCTGATCGAGTTCTTTATATATTCTGGTTATTAGTCCCTTGTCTGAAGCATAGTTTGCAAATATATATTTTTTTCCATTTTGTGGTTTGTCTCTTCACTTAATTATTGTTTCCTTTGCTTTACAGAAGCTTTTTAGTTTGATGTAATCCATTTGTCTGTTTTTTGATTTTTTGCCTGTGCTTTAGGAATCTTATTTAAGAAATTTTTGCCTACTCCAGCATCTTCAAATGTTCCCTCTGTATTTTCAACTAGTAGTTTTACATTTAGATCTTTGATACATTTTGAGTTGATTTTTGTGGAGTTAGGGGTCCAATTTGTGGAGACAGGGATCCAGTTTCTTTTTTGTTCATGAGGATATCCAGTTATTTCAGTGCCATTTATTTACTTTTTTTTTGGGTGGGGGAGGGAGGAGAGGTTTTTGCTATAGGGTGCATGTGCTCGCCAGAAAGACAGAGGGAGACAGAGAGATAGAAAGCGAGAAATCACCCCCCACCCAGGGGGGATGGCCACGCCGCAATCCCTTCTCCTCCATTCTCCTCTCAGGGTCTTGGGCACACACACACACATGCCCGGCATGTGTTTAAGCCACCGGGTCCAGGAGTCGAACCGTGGTCGACTACATGGGAGTTCAGCGACATAGCCATTACTCTAACTGCTGGTCCCAGTGTCATTTATTGAAGAGACTTTCTTTTCCCAAAGGATTGTCTTTTATCCTTTGTCAAAAATCAGTCAACTGTATGTTTTTAGGTTTATTTTGGACTCTATTCTGTTTCATTGGTCTATGTGTCAGTTTTTGTGATAGTACCATGCTGGTTTAATTATCACATCTTTGAAATAGATTTTGAGGTCAGGTAGTGAGCTGCCACCCATTTTATTCTTTTTGCACAGCATTGTTTTGGCAATATAAAACCTTTTATAATTCCAGATAAATTTTATAATTTTTTTCTCTACTTTTGTGAAGAGTATCACTGGTAATTTGACCAAAATTGCATTTAATTTGTAAACTAATTTGGGTAAAAGTGGAATTTTGATCATCTAAGAACTTAAGATGTCTTTCCAATTCTTGTAACATACTCAATGTCTTTTAAAAATTGTTTTATAGTTTTCCTTGTAGAAATCTTCCTCCTCTTTGGTTGAATTTATTCCTAGGTATTGTGTGTGTGTGTGTCTGTGTGTGTCTGTGTGTGTGCGTGTGTGTGTGTGTTGTAAATGGGATTGGTTTGTTTCTGCCTATGTCTGTTCATTGGTAGTATTTAACTGTGCTATGGTTTTTTGTATATTGATTTTATATTTGACATATTGAAGTCGTTTAACACTTCTAGAAGTTTTTTTTCATGGATTCTTTTAAATTTTCTATGTATATTATCATGCTATTTGGAAGTAGGGACAATTTTGCGTCTTTTCCTATTTGAATGCCTGTTATTTTACTCTCTTGTCTCATTGCATTGGCTAAGACTTTCAGCATAATGTTGAAAAGGAGAAGAGATAGTGGACATTGTCTTGTTCCAGTTTTAGTGGGAAACCTTCCAGCTTTTTCCAATTCAGTATGATGTTAGCTATAGATTTGTAAAATATGGACTTTATTATGCTGAGAAATGTACTTTCTATACTTGTTTTGCTGAGAGTCTTAATTATGAAGGGCTGTTACATTTTCTTAAATGATTTTTTGCATCAATTGATATGATCTTTTTTTATCTTTCCTTCTATTAATATGATATATTATATTTATTATTTTGCATATCTTGAACCATTCTTGACTTCCTGGGATAAACCTACCTGATCATGGTGTATAATCTTGTAATGTGCTGTTAGATTTGATTTATTAATATCTTTTTGAGGATAATTGCATCTGTATTCATCAGGGTTATTGGTGTGTACTATTCTTGTTTTTGTTTATTTGTTTGTTTTTAGGTCCTTGTATGTTTGGTATCAAGGTGATGGAGATTTCATGAAATGAGTTTGGGAGGGTTCCTTCCCTTTAGGAAAGTTTCTTTAAAAACAGTTTCTAAGAAGGGGGCATCGGATGGCAGAATGGTTATATTGCTGGTCTCCCACGTAGTCCACTGCAGTTCAAGCTCCAGACCCGGTGCTTAAAACACGATGAGAACATGTGCGTGCATGCCCAAAATCCTGAAAGGTGACTGGAGGAGAAAGGATTGTGATTTGGCCATCCCCCATGGGGATGATTTTTCACTTTCTGTCTCTCTTTTCTCACTCTGTCTCTCTGGCAAGCATACACACCCTATAGCAAAACTATCTGTGCTTCTCTCAAAAAACAAAACAAAACAAAACAAAACAAAAACAAGAAAGATAAAAAACCATTTCTAAAAAAATAGTTTGAGGAGAATTGTGGTTAGAGCTTTTTTAAAAGTTTTCTAGAGTTCAGGAGTAAACCCATTGGGGCCTGGGCTTTTCCTTGTTGGAAAACTATTTAGTAGTGATTCAATCTCATTGCTTGTTATCAGTCTATTCACATTTTGTATTTCTTACTGGTTCAATCTAGATAGATTATATGTGTCCAGAAATTTTTCTGTCTTATCTAGGTTATCTAGTTTCTGGTGTATAGTCACCCATGGTATTCTTTCATGATAGTTTTGTATATCTGTATATCTTTCGTAATGTTGCCTGTTTCATTACTGATTTTATTTATCTGGTTCCTTTATTTTTCTGAACAGTCTAGCTAACATTTTGTCAATTTTGTTTTCCTCTCAAAAAATCAGCTTTGCATTTCATTGGTTTTGTATAGTTCTTTTATTCCCTATTTCATTTATTTCTACTCTAATCTTTATTATTTCTTTTCTTCTGGTATTTTTAGTTTGGCCACTGGGGGAGGGCACTCATTGCTATAAACTCTCTTTGACTGCTTTGGCTCTGTCTCAACGATTATGGACAGGTGCACGTTCACAATCATTGGTGTTAATAAATCTTTTTATTTCAGTCTTTATTTTTTCAGTAGTTTTACTCATTCAGGAGCACATTGTTTAGTTTCTAGGTATTTGCATATCTTTGAGGATTCTTCTTATAGTTGATTTTTCAAACTTAATTCCATTGTGGTCATAAAAGATGCTGGATGTAGTTTTTATACTTTTGATCTTAGAAAGGCTCTCTTTTTTTGCCCTATCATGTGTTTGATTTGAGAAAATGTTTCATTTGGAGATGAGAAGAATGTGAATTTTGTGGTTGTTGGGTGAAGAGTTCTATATATGTCTGTCAGGTCCATTTGGTTTATGGGCATTTAGTTCCTGAGTCTCTTTGTTTTTTTGTCTAGATTACTTGTTCAGTGGTGACAGTGGGTGTTGAGATCCCCAACAATTAGTGTGCTGCAGTCTAGCTCTCCTCTTGGATATAGCAGTCTATTTTTTAAGTATTTTCATGCCCTATTGTTAGGTCCATTAATATTTTGATTTTTTTATTGTATATTATTGGCACATTAAGCCTTTAATACTATAGAATGTCCTCTTTTATTTGCTCTTTTTTTTTTTTTTTTGCAGCTTTTGACTTGAAGTCTTTTTTCTTTTTCCTAATGTCATAACATTACTCCACTCTTTTTTGGTTTCTGTATACATGAAATGACTTTTCCTAAGCCTTTATTTTCAGTCTATGTATGTCTATCAGTGACATGTGTTCCTTGAGAGCAGCATAGAGGAAACTTTTACAACTCCATTCAGCCATGTGTGTCTTTTCCTTGAAGAACTCACTCAATCCATTAACATTGAACATTTTTGTTGATATTTGCAGGCCTATACCTGACTTTTTTTTAGTCATTTTCTTAGTTGTTTTGTTTTATCTTATTTATAATTGTCTCCCTTTCATTTTCCTGATGTATTATTCCTTTAATTATTTCTTGAAGAACTGATCTAGTATTAGTAAATTATTTCAGTTTTTGTTTATCTAGGAATTATTTTACTTCTTCACATTTGAAGAATAATCTTGCTGGGTATAATTTTCTTGACTGAAATTTTTTTTCTTTTAGAGTTTTAAATATGTCTTTTTAATTTTTCCTTGACTGCATTGTTTCTGTTGAGAGGTCTGACACTAGTGTGATGGGATAACCTGTAATTAACTTGATATTTCTCTCGCCATAATTAGAATATCGTCTTTTTTTTTTTTTTTTTTTGCATTTTTGCCAATTTGGCAATGATGTACCTTGGCGAGTATCTTATGTTGAATTTATTTAATGTCCTTTGTATTTCCTGGATCTGGATGTCTGTTTGTCTCTCTAGATTTGGAATGTTCTAGATAGTATGTAGTAAAAGAAATTTCCTGTGCCTTTATCCAATTCTTGGCCTTCTAGAATACCCATTATGTGAATACTCAGCCACTTAATGGTGTCTAAAACTTCCTGTATGTTGTTTTCATTTTTTTTTATTTTCCATTCATTTGGGTGTCTTGGACTAAGGTGGAGATTTTGTCTTCAAGGTCAGTGAGTCTTTGTTCTGCGTGGTCTAATTTGCTGTTAACACTTCCAAGGGTGATTTTGACTTCCTGTATTATATTCTTCATCTTCAGAAGTTCTATTTGGTTCCTTTGTAGGACGTCTGTCTTTTTACAGAATTCTACTTTCCTGTCATGGAATGATTTTTTAATCTTCTGGAATTGATTGTCTATTTTCTCTTACATCTCAGTTTTGTTACAATGAATATTCTTAATACTTTTTATGACATAACTGTGATTTCTCATGTTTTAACCATCATCAGTGAAGACTTATTATGTTCTTTTGAGGAAGAATATTTTCTTATTTTCTATTTCTGTGTCTTTGTATTGATTTTTATCTGGTGAAGTACTCACTTCTTCCTGCTTTTTGGAGTAACTCCATGGTGCTGGAAAGCAGAGATGGAGGTTAGAGGGAGAACAGCCTTAGTTCCCAGGTATGCTCCTGGTAAAGTGGTTCAGGAGGGACCAGTGAGCGGCCACATACTCCAGATCAGAGCAGGGCTTACCTTGCCTGCCAGACAGAGTGGAGAACCCAAGTTCATCTGTCTCTGTTGGAGTAGAGATGCTCTGCTCCTTCCCAGCTGTGGAGATTTGGTTATCCGCCCCCCCCCCCGCCCCCAGAGCTCTTTGACCTTGCACTTACTTATGATATGTGTTAGTTCCATTCTAGTTTCTTTGTTCTGTGGGTGGAATTGCTGGAATCCATGATGGGAGTCTGGGGTTCAGTTTCAGAGGAAAGTTTTTCTCTTTTTTCCCTCTGGGTGGGGTTTTGGGGAGGAGAAAGCCCTCCAGAGCCTCACCTGCTTCAGGCAGTTGCCTCCTTTGTACTTTTGCAAGTAGAAACCATGAAAATTAGAAATTCCTGTTGACTCTCTCCTGCCCTCTAAAGTCCTGCCTGATTCCTCTTTCTGCAGGGGGTTTGTTGACAGGCAGTAGCCATGGCCAAGTTTCCTGCAGGCTGCAGAAGTGGTGGCAGATGGCCCTCCCCTTAGTCAGCAGCCATGGTCCCCTGGTTTATCCCATTCTGTCTAGTCCCTATACAGCTGAGGGCTGAGCTCAAGGAGGGTGTAGAGGAGGAGAGGTGGAGGGATCATGGGGTCGTAACCACAGTGCCGTGGGTGGGCACTCATGGTGGCATGTGTGGGTAGCATGGGCATCTGGTGAAATATTTTAATTTCAGCATTATGTCTTTGAAACCATGTGGTTTATAATAAGAGTTTAAGCTATCGGTTTGTGCTGTCATGTAATAACTCTGGGTCATTATTGCAGTGGGTTCACTCCTTGCTGCGTATCTGTGCCATCATCAGCGTCATCTCTGTTTGTATGAACACACCCATGACCTTCGAGCACTACCCTCCTCTCCAGTATGTGACCTTTACTCTGGATACTTTATTGATGTTTCTCTACACAGCAGAGATGATAGCAAAAATGCACATCCGAGGGATTGTCAAGGTGAGTGTTTTCATGTCATTTAGGCCAATAACTGAAATGTGCCAAAAGTCTTAATTAGTTTAACACTTTCTTATTAATTTCAGTAAAACAAAACCTTTTAGTTTATCCATGCTAAGGTCCTTTTACAAAAGGCATCACTTAAGACATTGGTAGAAATATGCTGCATAACATTTTTAAAATAAAATAAAAGTGATAAAGCGTACAGCCTTGGTTACTATAAGGAAAGGAGTTAAATGTCTCAACTGTCTTCATGAAGACCAGAGTAGGATTTATTAAACCCCGCACGTCTGAAGCCGTAAACTGGTGCAGTAGCTGGCCCAGAGGGGCCTTCGTAATTGTTGATTTATAAAACATAGGATAAATGTTACATGATAGCATTCAAATGTGAGGATGTTCAGCAGCATGCCATTAACTTGACTGTTTTGAAGATGTAAAGGAATGAAAAAGTAAAAAATAAGTACTTGAGATCGAAAGGAATTCCACAACCTATGGTAAAGAATGTGTTATATGAAATTGGCATCCTTGGAAGACAAAATTAAATAACAAATTTTAGAAAGGAAAATAAATTATAGGAAGAAAATTTCTTTCTCTGTTATCTTTCTTCTGAAGGATACCCTTTACAAAGGTTAAAAATACATAGCTGAAATTAAGGAGGCAGATAGAAAGGCAAGACATTTATGGGACACAGAAATGAATTATTATCTATTGATGATAATGTGCTTTGTATCTTCAACTAGACTGGTATGAAGCGTATTCATGTGGGGTAAATTCGGTTTACAAGCTAAGCGACGCATATTAATTAAATGTATACAATAAATTCAAATTTAAAAATACACAGATGCTGCTGCCCCTAGAGGATTTAAAATTGTAATATTTAAGGAGAGGGTGGTATAATAAACTATAGTGCAGACTTTAGAGTTTGACATATTTGACTCAACTACTGGCTTTTCATTTACTGCATGTATCAGCATCTCAAGTTAAGTATTTTGGGTAAGAAATTGTTTCATTCTATACAAGGATTTTGAGAGTTTAATGAGATGATGCACAATACTGGTCAGTTTGTTGCTGTTCTTTATACATAATTCATTGTGTGCTATTCTTAAAAAGACAATGATCACAGCCAATGTATTTCTGTGTGTTTTTTTCTTATGGATTTTTTTCTTATGGATTTTTTACAGTTTATACAAAAGTAGATTATGCTTGTAATGAATCCAAATCAACATCAACAGTTATCAACATATGGCCAATTCTGTTTCATTTTAAAACAAAACTGAGAAATCAATAATCAACCCATTTCAGGAATAAGTTGTTATACATTGCCGACTGATAAATTACTTTTGTTTATTTTTTAAATAACCACCATGCAATTATTCCATCTTGCAAAATTAACAATAATTCCATATAAGATAGTACCCAATCCATGTTCACATTTCCCCAGTTGTCCTAAATATTCGTGTTTGCAGTTGGTTTCTTTGAATTGAGACTTACAGAAGATTCACATAGTGGATTTGTTGTGTTTATGAAGTCCCTGTTAAGTCTCCTTAAGTCCATTGAGTCTCAGCTCTATACACCCTACAAAAGTTTTCCACATGTCATTGATCCATTCAGAGAAATGAGTCTTTTGTGGAAAATTCTACATTTTAGGTTTTCCTAATTGCTTCCTGATAGTGCCGTTTCATAGTTTCTACACGCTCTGCATTTCCTAAACCATGTTGCATTTGCCCAATAATATATACAGGTGATACTTTCCCCAGGTGATACTTTCTTAAATTATTAATAAATTAAAACTCAGTTTTCACGTTGTGAAAATGACAGTAGGTACTGCCCTAATTGTCACAGTCTAATAATAAAAGAAACAGGCAGACTTGAAACATCAAATATGTATTCATTCCATGTGAATAGAGCACCAAATGAACAGGAGTTTCATTTACTAACTTAAATATTTAACAATAGTTAAATTAAAAAGAAAAGCAACAACTTGATTTATGGCATAATGGCTACACCACTGGACTCCCACATAGTCCACCGCAGTTGGAGTCCTGGACCTGTTGGCTTAAACCTCATGCCAGGTGCGTGTGCATATGTGCCCAAGATCCCGAGAGGAGAATGGAGGAGAAGGGATTGCAGCATGGCCATCCTCCCTCGAGGATGATTTCTCACTTTCTATCTTTCTGTCTCTCTCTGTTTATATGGCAAGCACACGCACCATATAGCAAAAATCTCTCAAAAAAAAAAAAACTTGACTTATGGCTAGATTGTATTTAAATGCTGTAAATCGAACATTTCCAGTGTTTTTCCTATTGCTTTCAACATTCAGATGATGAGCTATTTACCATTATAAAACCCAAAGTGTTTTTATATTTTTAATTTGTGAGAATTGAAAGTTAAAGTCAACTAATTTAATTTGTTTTTCTATTTTACACTGGGGAATAATTGAATTAAAGAAAAAGTTAACACAGATTTTAGCAATACTACATTGTTAGCATTATCTTGAAATAGTCAGTATAGCTACATAGCTCATTGAAACTGGTATTCAATGTTTAAATGACAGATGAACTTTCAGTTAAGTGCAGTTATATCTGAGGTCTGATGATCCTGAACCAAGTTGCATATGCATTATTTCAATGAATTTTCACCATCATGGCTGCCTTTTGCTTAGACTGTGACAATTAAAAGCAGTGCCAACTATCATTTTTATGACACAAAGCCCAAGTCATAACTTTTTCCTTTTAGTACTACTAACTTCTTTAAATATACATATCAAAAGAGACACAGATCGAAGAGGAATTGGCTTATGATTGCATTCTTGTATTAAAACAAACTTCTCAACAGACTTAGTAAAAATTCATCCTGTCATCTTAAATTTATATTGTTAATTTTTTCATTGGTTTTGTGTTTTATGTATGGAAGCTCATTCTGTTTTTTATAGTTACATTAAAAATATGTACGTATTTTAAATCCAAGTTATATCACAATAAAAGCACATTAGAGGCTTGATGATCCTTTTTAGAAGGCCTTTTAAATTGCTCAACTTACTGTGTTCTTGTCAATTAACCCTAGCATAATCTTTTACAACTTTTATTAAGCAACTCTCAGCTTATGCATTTATTTTTTTCTACCTTAATCCTCTTGCCAACCACAGTGAGGTTACCTCTTACTCAAGTTTTAGTCCCTTCACCCACAGTAATTTGAAAATATCTGCTATATTTGCTCAATTGTAGGACTTAAGCTTGTGTTTTTTCATACATATTCATGTGCAGACAAAAAAACTTTATGAAAAAATGGAATTGAAGTAAGATTGTTATGTTGCAAAGAATTTTGAAATCCATGCGTGATTTTTTCATAATTTGCAATGAAATTCTGAAGCCCCTTGTACAGGGGCATTATGAATATTTGTATCCTATTACAATTGTCAGGCTATACTTTTCTTAATAAGTTTTCTCATTATTTAGAATAAAGCTATACAAATACTAACTTCCATATGCACTAGTTTCCTATTAAAAGCATTCTAGGGAACAGTTAGCTTTAGTTATTAAGTGAGCAATGCCAGTTTGCAATGTCTTCTGTGTGAAAGAG